TCAAGCGTACGTACGCAGGTGGGGGGTGAAAAGTACGCGTGCATACAGGGAGGAGGGGGGGGGGTCAAGTTGACAGATTTTTGCGTACGTACTAAATGGATGTCACCTAGCTCTTTTTCAGAAGCGACCCCTGGCTATCACAAATTATAGCTCAACAAAGTGGCGGCTTATCAGCTTATCATCATCATCACGTGGAAATTTATAGCAGCGGCCAAATACTCTCAGCGCGTGATTTTAAATGAGGGAAAAACCGGGGGATTCGGAAAAAAAAATCCACACAATCACGGAGGGAGAGAGGGAGAGAAACGCCAACTCCAAAAATGAAACGGGCATAGAGTCAGGGTCGCGATCGAGCCCTCGTACCTGCTGCGTACCAGGCGAGGTGGTCAACATCTCCTAGCGAGCAGGCACGATGACCTCGGCGGCAGGAGAATCGCGGTTAACATGCGCCAGCGAAAAATCCCCATTACGCAAGAATTCGGCAAAGCCAGCCAGAGGGGACTGGCGCCGAGATCCCAGGGCAAACAAGGATGAGGGAAGGAGGGAGGGAGGGATAGAGAGGGAGGAGGGGGTGGGGGGGTCCGAAAGTCTTTCGCAAGCTCATCCAAAAGCATCGCGCGATGCCGTAAAAAAAACGACGGTGGGTCACCGCATCATCATCATCATCATCGTGCGCACGCGTTTTCAGATGCGCCGCCGCTTCCGCGGCCGTCTGGAACGCTCTCTTCCTGCCCGGTATTGGGAAGCCGCTGGGCGCTGAATGATTATCATCACCATCTCAGATCGACAAAACTAATTTTACTTAGAACTGGTTATTGTGTTTTGTTTGCAGTCTCCTCCCCCCCCGCCCCCGCATCTACGATTAGCGCGGTTGGCGACGTACGGTGCGCGAAAGAGGTTCAACATAGACACACACATAGCAGCACGGCTAGCCACGCATGGTGCGAAAGAAGTTCAACATGCGCACGCACTCGCTCGCGTTTTCGGCCACACAAGGGAGGCAAAGACAACTTATCACAAAGCTTCAGGGTGTCTCTCTTTGTCCACTCGTGTGTCGGGGGGGGGGTGGTGTCGGTGGGGAGCGGTGGGCCCATCCTGCCTCCTCCCCCACCAGAGTTCGACCCCAGGCCGAGGCTAAACAAAAAAAAACGCAGCGGCGGGCGAGTTGACGATAACGTCTGTAACTTGCCCTATCGTGTTCCCTCTTACGCCACCTTCAATTCGTTAAACTCTCCCCCCCCCTTCCTCCTCCTCCTCCTCCGCGACTGACCAGCGCGTGGTGGAAGAGCATGGATAAGCCAAGCGCACGTGACCGGGACACGGGTGCAGTTACGGCTCCGGGAGTTTGTGTAACTAAACCGTACATAAAAATAAAAACGACTCTCTTGAGCGGATCTCGAACTCTTTCGCGCCCTGCCTGCCTGCTACATTTTGGACGTTGCACCAAACGAAAACCAAAGCCAAAAACCAGCCACCGCCATTCTCTTTCGTGAACCGAAGGGGTGGACGTGCGGTGGGGGGGTCTGGACCGGTCCCGCAAGACGCTCCCGTACAGATGGATTTCACAAATAAACCCCCCCAAAAAAATCTACAACTAAAACCCACCCACCCCCGTCTTTAATGCCCACCTCTTAATCCAAACAAACCTATAAGACCAAGATACTACATCCCCCCCCCCCGTACAGCCTTAACTGTTGGTGCAAGTTATGATTTAAAGCTTTCGTGACTGCAGTAATTCATATTCTTGGTTCTTTCCGTAAAGTCACGTTGAAGGGAAACAATAAAATAATATATACAAGACAATAAAATGTTTTGTTTTATAAAGAACCAAGAATATGTTGGTGCAAGTGCTGTTAGCACCTATGAAGGCCGGCACAGTGGCACAAGAGGGGGTGGGTGGCCAGCAACCACGCCCGACCGCCTTTGTCTCCCCGGTGGCGACGTTTACTACACACCGCACCAGGTGACTCATTCGAGGCCGAGTCGACCTAGCGGAGGTGGCCCAGGACCGGTTCGGATAATCGTCACCCGGTGTTGGCCGTGAGAGGGAATCGAACTTGGGTCCTCCGGGGTTACAGCGTAGCGTAGCGCTAACCGCTGCACCACCGCTCTACCAAACCCCCCCACCACACACCGCCAAACGCGCAGCGCGTGCATTGTTCCACGGCTCAAGGCTCGGCACAGATGGATTTAACAATTCATTCAACTCTTGTGCCGTCCACTTGACTATCACCCCCCCTCCCGTGGCCATTCCAGCGAGCCGATCCTTTTAACTGGTCCGGTTCGCCAGCAGCACTGCTAACACGAAACTAGCCATCATCATCATCATTAACAATCGGTAGCCATGGTTAATCTACTGCTGGATGAGGGCCTCCCCCCCATGCCACGTTAGTCCAATCTTCCTTGCGGAAACTCGACGGGATTATATCATCAACTGGTCCGGTTCGCCAAGCAGCACTGCTAACACGAAACTAGCCATCATCATCACTAACAATCGGTAGCCATGGTTAATCTACTGCTGGATGAGGGCTTGTCCCCCATGCCACGTTAGTCCAATCTTCCTTGCGGAAACTCGACGGGAATATCATCAACTGGTCCGGTTCGCCAAGCAGCACTGCTAACACGAAACTAGCCACCATCATCATTAACAATCGGTAGCCATAGTTAATCTACTGCTGGATGAGGGCCTTCCCCCCATGTCACGTTAGTCCAATCTTCCTTGCAGAAACTCGACGGGAATATCGTCAACTGGTCCGGTTCGCCAAGCAGCACTGCTAACACGAAACTAGCCACCATCATCATTAACAATCGGTAGCCATGGTTAATCTACTGCTGGATGAGGGCCCCCCCCCCATGCCACGCGAGTCAAATTGTCCATCGTCCTTGGTCAATCCGCTGCTGGATGATAGCCCCCCCCCCCCCAAGCCACGGGTGGAGGGGGGTACACATCCTTTAATCATCGGCCACGGTCATTCCACTGCTGGATGAAGAACAAATCCTCCTCCATCCAACGCAATCTGCCGCCATCTCTCCTCGCGATATCCGAGAGATTATCCCTCTCCGGATACGTGCAGAGAAGCCCCCGGCTAATGGATGCCACACAAAGACAGAGATTCTCTCCACCATCTCCCCCCACCACCACCTCCGTGTGTTGGGTGGGGGCAAGTGCTGTTAGTAAGCGAGTTAGGAGCGCCTACGAAGGCCGAGGACTGTGACACACACACACGACGGTGGTGGGTGGCTAGCACCACACCCGGCCGCCTTTGTCTCCCTCCCCCGCCACCCCCCCACACACAGCGCTGACGTTCTACGAACCGGTAATCTCCAATTCGAGCCTTAAGGGGTGGTGGTACCGGTTCGGATAATCAAGTCGGGAATCTCCAAATCTGGGTTCGTAGCGCAGTGCAGGACTCAAACCAAGCCACTCAAAGCACTGCAGTGAGACGAACCCGCCCGCTCCCTACAAAGATGCCTGCCACACACAGCAGCAAGTCTCTCTCCACCACCATCACCACCCCCCCAACATCAACGTGCCGTTGTTTCGTTCGTTTAAGACGTTTAAATCCACCCCCCCCACACGTGTTATAGGATCGTTTGTTTGACGAGTACGTGAATATCTAAGCGGATTTAACGTTCAAGCGCTCCCATCACCCATCATCACCATCACCCACGCCCATCACCACCATCATTACCATATCACCCATTACCACCACAATCACCACCATCGCCCATCATTACCATCACCACCCTTCAATATCACCACCACCCATCATTACCATCACCACTACCATCATCACCCCATCATTACCATCATCACCACAATCACCGACATCACCACCACACATCATCAGCATCACCGCCACCATCACCACCACACATCACCACCATCACCATACATCATCACCACCACCACACATCATCACCACCATCACCATACATCATCACCATCACCAAACATCACCACCACCATCACCACTACACATCATCACCATCACCACCACACATCACCACCACACATCATCACCACACATCACCACCATCACACATCACCGCCACCACTTCACCATCACCACACATCACCACCATCACCACACACCACCACATCACCACCACCACACATCATCACCATCACCACCCATCACCACACATCATCACCGTCATCACCACCACACATTACCACCACACTTCACCACCACACATCACCATCACCCACCACCACACATCATCACCACCACACATCATCACCACCACCACACACCACCACACTTCACCACCACACATCACCACACTTCACCACCACACATCACCATCGGCCGCCGCAACCGCCTCCATTTTACGTTCGGAGCGAGGCCCTCCCCGTCCACGCGTCCTCTTCCCAGAGTCTGCGACTCATCGCTCGCTCGCGCATCCAAACCACGACGAGGGCTTTTACGTACAAGATTCGTGTCCTTCGCGTCGTTTCGTAACGACGGTTCACGTTTATTTATTTTGAACAACAAAAACGCCGCTCTATTTTACCGCAAGCCGCGGCCGCACTTGCGTCGGCTTTTTTTTGTTGTAAAGGAAGGTCAAAGTGATTTATTTAGTTTTGATTCGACCTAAATCTATCGTTTGTAACATCAACGCACCGAAGGTACATTTAATAACGTTAACAAAAACGTCGACATTGTATTCGCCACGTGCGATTTTTTTTTAACTCCCTTCGGCGCGAGAACGTGGGTGGCGGTGGTGCTGGTGGAAGCCTAGGCCTCTACGGGGCCTCAAGCGAAGCCTCGGTCTCGCCTGACCAACCTCGCCGGGGGTTGCGCGACGACCCCGGCGGCACCCCCTCCCCCCCGATCACAGGGGTCGGGCGGGTCTCGTGAAGGGAAAACAAAAATTCCGCCCACGAACTCGAGTCGCACGACAAACGACGGCGAACGTTCGCGCCGCTCGAACGGCGACGTTTGCGGCGAACGCGGCGAGGCTTTAGGTGCCCTTTTGGCCGTCGAAGTCGTTACCTGTACTCGGCAGACGTGTCGGACATTTTCCCTCGCAGCTTCGCGGCAAAACGGAAAAGAAGGGCGGCCCGGTCCGCGCAGCGATACTTTATGTGAAGCGGCCGCGACCCACCCCCACCCATCAGCAGCAGCAGCACAGTGGTGGGGTGGGTTGGTTATTTAAATCACCACACATTAAAACGGGTTCTTTTTTTTATTAAATATACTTTGGTGGTGAGAAAATATTAAATCGTTTCGAGTGCTAGTGGGGGTGGGGGGGTGGTGTTGAGAGTTTGCGTGAGAAAATAAATATCGAGGTTTTTTTTAAATGGTGTGTGTTAGCGTACTATTTCTTTTCAGAGGAGGCTTTTGTGTGTGCGTGTGTGGCGTTCGTCGGGTCGTGATGCGGCCTCGCCCGGGCTCCATTTAATGCGCGTGACGTCACCGGGACCGGTTTAATTTTTTTTAAAAAAATTCACAATCTGCAACCGAGGGGGTAAATTCGACTTAAAAGAGCGACAGAGAGACACATTCCACCAAAACCGAGGCTCCCCCTTTTAAAAGTTAACGTTTTAATTTCTGTCAACTGGGCCGTTATTTTTTATTTAGAAAAACAAAGGAAACATATTCGGATTCACGTGACCCACCGTCAAGTCACTCACCATTTGACTCTTCACTCACTCAGTCACTCACCATTTCACTCATTCACTCACCATTTCACTAATTTAGTCACTCACCATTTCACTCATTCACTCAGTCACTCACCATCTGACGCATTCACTCACTCAGTCACTCACCATTTCACTCATTCACTCACCATTTCACTCATTCACTCACGCAGTCACTCACCATTTCACTCATTCACTCACCATTTCACTAATTTAGTCACTCACCATTTCACTCATTCACTCACTCAGTCACTCACCATTTGACTCATTCACTCACTCAGTCACTCACCATTTCACTCATTCACTCACCATTTCACTCATTCACTCACGCAGTCACTCACCATTTCACTCATTCACTCACCATTTCACTAATTTAGTCACTCACCATTTCACTCATTCACTCACTCAGTCACTCACCATTTCACTCAGTCACTCACCATTTCACTCATTCACTCACTCAGTCACTCGCCATTTCACTGTCACTCACCATCTCATTCATTCACTCACTCAGTCACCATTTCACTCATTCACTCACCATTTTACTCATTCACTCACCATTTCACTCAGTCACTCACCATTTCACTCATTCACTCACCATTTCACTCATTCACTCACTCAGTCACTCACCATTTCACTCAATCACTCACCATTTCACTCATTCACTCAGTCACTCATCATTTCACTCAGTCACTCACTATTTCACTCACCATTTCACTAATTTACTCACTCAGTCACTCACCATTTCACTCATTCACTCACTCAGTCACTCACCATTTCACTCATTCACTCACCATTTCACTCATTCACTCAGTCACCATTTCACTCAGTCACTCACTCAATCACTCACCATTTCACTAATTCACTCACTCAGTCATTCACTTTTTCACTCATTCACTCACCATTTCACTCATTCACTCACTCAGTCACTTACCATTTGACTCATTCACTCACTCAGTCACTCACCATTTCACTCAGTCACTCACCATCTCATTCATTCACTCACTCAGTCACTCACCATTTCACTCATTCACTCACCGTTTCACTCATTCAGTCACTCACCATTTCACTCATTCACTCACTCACCATTTCATTAATTTACTCACTCAGTCACTCACCATTTCACTCAGTCACTCACCATTTCACTCATTCACTCACTCAGTCATTCACCATTTCATTCATTCACTCACTCAGTCACTCAACATTTCACTCATTCACTCACCATTTCACCCATTTAGTCACTCACCATTTCACTCAGTCACTCACCATTTCACTCATTCACTCACCATTTCACTCATTCACTCACTCAGTCACTCACCATTTCACTCATTCACTCACCATTTCACCCATTTAGTCACTCACCATTTCACTCATTCACTCACTCAGTCACTCACCATTTGACTCATTCACTCACTCAGTCACTCACCATTTCACTCAGTCACTCACCATCTCATTCATTCACTCACTCAGTCACTCACCATTTCACTCATTCACTCACCATTTCACTCATTCAGTCACTCACCATTTCACTCACTCACTCACTCACTTACCATTTCATTCACTCACTCAGTCACTCACCGTTTCACTAATTTACTCACTCAGTCACTCACCATTTCACTCATTCACTCACTCAGTCACTCACCATTTCACTCATTCACTCACCATTTCACGCAATCACTCACTATTTCACTCATTCACTCAGTCACTCACCATTTCACTCAGTCATTCACCATCTCATTCATTCACTCACTCAGTCACTCACCATTTCACTCATTCACTCACCATTTCACTCATTCAGTCACTCACCATTTCAATCATTCACTCACTCACCATTTCACTCATTCACTCACTCAGTCACTCACCATTTCACTAATTTACTCACTCAGTCACTCACCATTTCACTCAGTCACTCACCATTTCACTCATTCACTCACTCAGTCACTCACCATTTCACTCATTCACTCACCATTTCACTCATTCACTCACTCAGTCACTCACCATTTCACTCATTCACTCACCATTTCACTCATTTAGTCACTCAACATTTCACTCATTCACTCACTCAGTCACTCACCATTTCACTCAGTCACTCACTCAGTCACTCACCATTTCACTCAGTCACTCACCATCTCATTCATTCCCTCACTCAGTCACTCACCATTTCACTAATTCACTCACCATTTCACTCATTCAGTCACTCACCATTTCACTCATTCACTCACCATTTCACTCATTCACTCACTCAGTCACTCACCATTTCACTAATTTACTCAGTCACTCACCATTTCACTCATTCACTCACCATTTCACTCATTCACTCACCATTTCACGCAATCACTCACTATTTCACTCATTCACTCAGTCACTCACCATTTCACTCATTCACTCACCATTTCACTCATTCACTCACTCAGTCACTCACCATTTCACGCATTCACTCACCATTTCACGCAATCACTCACCATTTCACTCATTCACTCACCATTTCACTCATTCACTCACTGAGTCACTCACCATTTCACGCATTCACTCACCATTTCACGCAATCACTCACCATTGTACTCATTCACTCACTCAGTCACTCATCATTTCACTCATTCACTCGCCATTTTACTCATTCACTCACCAACCATCTCATTCACTCACAATTTCACTCATTCACTCACCATTTCACTCATTCACTCACTCACTCACCATCTCACTCACTCATTCACTCCCTCATTCACTCACCATCTCACTCATTCACTCACCATTTCACTCATTCACTCACCATTTCACTCATTCACTCACCGACCATCTCACTCATTCACTCACAATGTCACTCATTCACTCACCATCTCACTCACCATCTCACCCACCATCACACCCATTCACTCACCCACCATCCCACTCATTAATTCACCCACCATCTCACTCACCATCTCACTCACCATCTCGCTCACACACCATCTCAACCATTCAATCATCATCTCACTCATTCACTCACCCACCATCTCACTCAACCACTCATACACTTACCCATTATATCACTCACCATCTCACTCACCATCTCGCTCACATACCATCTCACTCACACACCATCTCACTCATTCACTCACCGTCTCACTCATCATCTCACTCACTCGCCATTTCACTCATTCACTCACAATTTCACTCATTCACTCACCATTTCGCTCATTCACTCACGCACCATCTCACTCACTCATTCACTCCCTCATTCACTCACCATCTCACTCATTCACTCACCATTTCACTCATTCACTCACCATTTCACTCATTCACTCACCGACCATCTCACTCACTCATTCACTCACAATGTCACTCATTCACTCACCATATCACTCACCATCTCACTCACCATCTCACCCACCATCACACCCATTCACTCACCCACCATCTCACTCATTAACTCACCCACCATCTCACTCACCATCTCACTCACCATCTCGCTCACACACCATCTCAACCATTCAATCATCATCTCACTCATTAACTCACCCACCATCTCACTCAACCACTCATACACTTAACCATTATCTCACTCACCATCTCACTCACCATCTCGCTCACATACCATCTCACTCACACACCACCTCACTCATTCACTCACCGTCTCACTCATCATCTCACTCAGTCACCATTTCACTCATTCACTCATCATATCACTCATTCACTCACCATTTCACTCATTCACTCACATTCTCGCTCATCATTTCAATCATTCACCGTCTCATTCACCATCTCATTCAATCACCATTTCACTCATTCACTCACCATCTCACTCACCCGTCATCTCACTCATTCACTCACCCACCATCTCACTCAACCACTCATACACTTACCCATTATCTCACTCACCATCTCACCATCTCGCTCACACACCATCTCACTCACACACTATCTCACTCATTCACTCATCATCTCACTCATCATCTCACTCAGTCACCATTTCACTCATTCACTCATCATCTCATTCACTCACCATCTCACTCATTCACTCACCATCTCAATCATTCACCGTCTCACTCACCATCTCATTCAATCACCATTTCTCTCATTCACTCACCATCTCACTCACCCGTCATCTCACTGATTCACTCACCCACCATCTCAACATCTAACTCACCATCTCAACATATCGCTCACTCACCATTTCACTCATTGACCCATCATCTCACTCATTCACTCACCCACCATCTCATTTATTAACTCACCCACCAACTCACTCAACCACTCATTCACTCACCCCCACCATTTCACTCACCATCTCATTCCCTATCTCGCTCACTCACCATCTCACTCATTCACTCACCATCTCATTCACTCACCATCTCACTCATTCACTCACCGTCTCATCTCATTTAATCACCATTTCACTCACCATCTCACTCACGCTTCATCTCACCCATTCACTCACCCACCATCTCACTCTACTCATTTACTCACCCACCATCTCACTCATTCACTCACCCACCATCTTACTCATTCACTCACCCACCATCTCATCC